ATCTGAGAGACCAGAGAGAAAAAGGGACCAGTAAAAGCTGATCTAAAGATGTGACAAGGCCAGAAATACATGATAGTGATAACAAGCAACTGTTTTAGAACCAGGAACTCGAGACATATGGTTTGATAACAGAGTTAAATGTTGTATTAAAGTGGGTTCTAAGCCCAATTTAAGAGGAAAACAGAATATTGAAGAGATGCTTCCTCTCTTGACCATCATGTGATTTGTTGACTCCAGACTTTGTCCAGTGGGGAACGCTCCAACAAACCCAACGAGATGGAACATAAGCTGGAGATATGTCCCAAAAGAACTTATAAGCAAACGTAATCCTGCACACTCACAGATTAGAGCCAACAGTCACACAAATGTACAATGTTGTTGACTGTGTACTTTGTTCATGAGATTCAAAGTGACAACAGCGCAACCACAAAGGAGTGAGGGAGAGAGACCTCCCACGCCTTTGTCCCGGAGCAGAGGCACTGGAGCGGGGAAGGAGAGGCTAACGTCCCCTCAGTGACACAAGGACACTGCGCTCAGAGGGAAATGGAGCTGGGTTCAGAGAGGAGATAAAAAGAACCACTACACCTCACACCACATCAGACAACCTCACCACTGCAGCAGTACACAGGGAGGCACCCATACCAGAACTTAAAAGGGACACAACCAGACTCTCTTACATGAAAATCTCTTCATAGTTAGTATTTTAACAGAGACTGTATCAGACATGAGCCTAAGAGACAGAGTAGTACCAGGTCACTTCAGGAGCACAGCGGTAGTCCCTGTGCAGGTGACGTCACACCAAAAGAAGAGCAGATGGAAACAGGGCCATACATTCCAAAAATAATCAGACTATCGTACTTTCTGGACTATTAGACGCACCTGTATATGAGCCGCACCAGTAACATTTTAATAAAAAGTACATTTTGATCACTCATAGGTCACACTGGAATATAAGATGCATGTTTTCATGTTGTATAATGTAGCAGATAGACAACAATGTTTTAACTGGTCGCTCCATGATTTAATGACGAGGCCGGTAGCTTCCATCTCACATTTACAATTATCCGTCCCTAACCCTGCCCTTTATATTTCACGAATAAAATTTATTAAAACCGTGCAGAAAGAGCACAGCTGGTGGCTTTAAAGTTAAGTGCAGCAGCTTTTGTGTGTCTCTCTAGGCGTGTGTGCGTGTGTATGTGAGTGTGCGTGTGTATGAAGAAACTGGAGGCTGATGACGCTGAGGTACTTTTAATATAATAGATCCATGTGAGGTAGAGGAGCTGCTTAGGTGCATCTGCTACCCTCTAGTGGACGCACCTGGTAACACAATGCAGTATACACAAAACATGAAGTATTAATCTAATATAATTTTGGGCTATTAGGCATTACTTAGAGACGATAATGCATACTTTAGAATGTAAAAAGTTTATGGTGAAACAAGTATGAGACCTGTAACTCAATATGCTTCCAGCCGCAGAGAGCAGTCGGAGCTCCCAATAGCTCCATGCTTCATTTCATTTCATTTATTTATTTATTTAATATGGACATAGCAATTAACATTGGACGAACCAGATGCATTGTTTAAAGTGTTATAGCACAAGTGCTAATTTTCAACACCTGTCCATAGGGGGCAGTTGCCAGTCGTGGGCTTTACACACACATGTTGCTCAGTATCCCACATTAAACATTTTGTGTTTTATGTCCCAATGTAATTATAAAGTAAACACGTCATTAATGTCTAATTTCTTGTTTCCGGAGAAAGTTTCTATTGACACTTTACCGCACTGCTAAATGTCTATTGTGTGTACTTACCCATTTTTCTCTTAAAACTTCCTTACAATGGCAATGAAAATAAAACTGTAAAGAAACTGAACTATCTGAACACATGCAGCCACAAACCAGAGCCTCTTTCGCCCCCTATTGGACTATACCATGTGGTGAGGAAAGACTCCGTATTACATGCTCCTATGAGATCAAAAATGAGTCTGAACGGTCTCCATGCTGGGACGATTCTCTCACCAAAGGAGAGTGTCTGTATTTTCCTCATGCTGACCGCAGCATGCAACCCTCTGCCCGCAGGGAAACCAAGACGAGTTAAAGGAGACATGTTTCTGACCCACTTCCTGAAGTAATTACTAATGGAGAAGATCAGGTCTCAGCACAGACACAAACAAGGAGCAGCAATTATTTAGTGTAACATCACTTGTATCGACTAATGACTTTGATCAAAACTTTCTTCTGGCGTTGGAAAGGTCATTAAATAAGACATACCATTACCTACAATTAAAACAGTAGGTAATATAATACATTAGAGATACGTGGTATTGTGTGTACAACATTGTCAAGGCTCTAGTATTACAGCTGGTAATACTTAAAGCTGGGGTCCTTTACTTTGTTGGGACAAAGAAAATTCATTATTTATAAACAACAAAGAGTATGGAACCAAGAGGCGAAACTCAATAGAACATCCCAATGCAACAAATGTACCAGTAACTGTGCCGCAGCGCTGCCATCTTGGACTGAACGCATCACAAATGTCATAGAATACAGAGGGATACAGGTTCAATTAAGAAGCAGTTTAAGGAAACTGAATAGTTCACTAGTTTGTTGTATTATGTCTATAGCCTAAACTAAAATGCTTTGAATAATGCACAACAAAATAATGCTTGTTTTTGACGCCGCACACACTGTAGCTATATCACTGTATTCATAAACATAGCCTAAACTTGTTTTTAGTCTAAACAAACGCAACTCTGATTCAATAAACTCTGCTCTGTTTGCATCCAGTTTGTGGATCCATCTTAAAGGAGCCCCAGCACAATTTTACCACAACCCATGCCTTTAAAGTTGAAATATTATCAGTTTAATCGCATAGTCTGCAAAAAAATAAAAATAAATAAGCTCCGTAACAAAATGTCAGCTAGTACCTGTTGACGTTAATATTAGTGAGTTCCTGTTGACGTCAATATTAGCTAGTTCCCTTCAATAAAAAATACAAAGCTCCTTTTATGACACATACGACTGGATCTTTGGGAAATCATTGAAATGCTGTTGTAGTATTTTCAGACACAATGTCATTGCTGTATAATATAGTATGTCGCTATGGTAGCTGTCTCAGTCCCAAATGGCGAAAGCGCTATCTAGTGGCTGTTGTCAAAACTGCAAGGGACTTAAAGTAAGGGAAGTTAAAGTAAAGTAAAATAATGTTGTGAACAACACAGACCACAACTCAATTCAATTACAATTCAATCTATTTGTGCATTGCCCTAAAACAGCACTCATCTCGGAGGACTTTACAAAGTTGTGGATTTGCCAACAACGGATCAGAGAATCAAACAATTTGAAGACAGGAAATGCAATAATAATAAACACATAGAAGCCATTGATCCATAGGGCGCGAGGTGACCACTGTCCAGAAATGTTAATAAATGTGCAGAAATGTCCCAGATCACTGTTCTTAGACCCTCCAGCACCAGAGGAAGAACCTGCTGCTTCATCTAATTAGAAAACATGTTCTCTTTAGTTTAAGAAAGTGAGTCACTATTAAAGAAGTATAATAACATTAAACGGATATTGTAGTCATGTGCTGCTGACTACAATGTTTTTATTTTTCTAATATCTATTATCTTAAATAATAGATCTTGTAGAATGTGTGCATATTCCGAGTGCTGAAACTGAGCAACGAGTAAAGGTTCATATTTTCCTTGTGTCCCGTGTGTGTGTACTGATCCTTAACCACACTCTCCTGCTCTCGCTTTGGGTTTGCTGCAGGTGAGTAGTTCAGCTTTACATAACACAGTTACACACACGGAGAAAGACAAGATGACGTGCGCGCCGAGAACAGGGGACACCCATGGACACTCAAGAGTAGACAGACACCTGCTGACGGAGCCCAGACAAAAAGAGCTGTGAGATCACTACAATAATAGCGATAATACAAAATTATGTCGGCTGTGATTTAAAGCTGAGGTTTAAAGTTTCTTAAACCACTTATTATGAATATTTCTGAAAATACAATGCTGAGACAGGAACCCCCCCGAAACATCCTGTAGTTGCAATTGGCGATCTTGGGTAAAATAACAGGATGTTTTGGGTCATTTTGATCAATCTCACGTCACATCTATCTTACTACATGAAACTGCATATTTAAGACTTGCTGTGACAGAGACTTTTCTCATGTTGCTGTCGGAGCTCGAGAAAAGATGAGAATCTGACGTTTTCGTCATAAGACCTGAACATCTGTGACTGGACCTTTGCAGCTGTGGTCATCAGCGGAAAATAAAACATTTAAAATATATATCTGATTCGATGATCAAAACAGTTTCCTCCATGTGTAAGTGGCTTTGTTCTGTATTTTAATATATCACGTTACGGTTTTGAAGATCTGCCCAAGGACAGCAGGTGGGTCTGTTGAGTGACTTCCCTGCTGTAGGAACAGAAAACTGCAGATAATGTGTTTGTGAGAATAATAAATGTTACATTTATAGATTTAAAGATTGTATGGTGTACTTTGTCTCTGTTAAATAGACTAATGAATAAATAAATATTAGGGAGAAATATGAGATTTCCTGAACTCTGACCTTGACCACAAAAGAAGAAGAGAGCTCAATTATTGAACAGAACTCACAAAAACACGGCATTAGAAGCACAAAAACAGCAGAGACAGAGGCTTTATGAACACGAGTCTTGTATTATCACATGAGAGAGACAGGTCCCGCTTCAGAGCAGAGGAAAACACTGATCACAAACTAAAATAATCTCCAGATTAGATCCAGTCTTTGAGAAACCTCAAAGCTCAGCCCCAAAACTTAAAACTTAAACTGAAGACCCAACTCTATACATGAGTGATTCAAGCATGTGACACGACATTGTGATTGTGTTCTGGAACTTGGGAAGAGTCAAAACTCTTACACATTAAAATGCCTCTCCCCCCTGTCCCTTCCCTAACCCCCCAGGTCTACCTTCTGTCCTGTGCCTCCTTCTCAGCCTGGTCTCCTCCCTCACCCATACCTGTACTTCATCCCGGTCTGAAAGGACACACATTCTTCCAGGGCCAGCCCATTCATCTTCAGAAACTCCTCCATGTTCTTGATCTGGGCTGCGATCCTCTGCTCCCTCAACCGCTGCAGCTCGGCCTGGTCCGTGGTCCGGGTCGGGGGCTGGTTCAGACCCTGCTCAGAGTGGTAGCGGTTGATCCCACTCCGGATGCTGTCGCTGTACGTCATGGACAACATCTTTCCGCTGCTGCTGCTCCTGCGAACGCCAGCCGCTGGAGGTTTGGGAATCTGCATGTTTTCAGGGGGATAGTAACTGGACCGCCGTCGGTCCCGGAGGCTCTGAGGGGGGCCCCCGGCATACCCACCCGCAAACATGCTTCAGATCCAAGGGAAGTTTGTGCAGAGAGATGATAAAGACTGCACAGGATACCAGGCAAGTCCGTGCAGAAAGGCTAAAGACTAAACAGGTTCCCAGGAAAGTCCTTACAGAGAGAGGCTAAGGACACCGCAGCTACCTCCTTATAGTCTCAACCCCAGTCTCCTCAGAACATGCATCCTGTAATGAGAGTCGCAGGCCCTCCCCCAATGGGACAGGTAGGTTACAGTGACACAAGCAGGTGACGCATTCAGAAGCTGCACATACAACATACAGCAAGCATGTCCAAACAGCGCTTCTTGTGGTCACACAGTAGTTTGAAATGCAAGGGAAAACAGACTGAGATCTTACACTGGCCAGATCTGTGTCTGGTCTTGGCCAGTCGCACGAGGAAATAATGATAAAACTATGTGAGCCGCTGTCGCAGGACTCATGCCTCTCACTCACTACACCACTGTGTCCAAACAAACTGAGATCATGCAGAGTTTTTTTGGTCATGAACTGTATGACATCACATCCACTCTGAAAACTAATTGTATTGAATAAAACCGATTTGTTAAATAAACACGTGTTTCATACGTTCAAAACAAAGTCACACAAATTGTTGAAGTATTAATGAAAACTAGATCCCCCGGTTTTCATGTGACCTTGTGTGCAACCTTTAACCAGACAATAAAAAAGTTGTTATTTGGTTTAATCATCATGCTGTGCTCGGGTGTGTTGAGTTTGCCCTCGGTTACACAGGTCAGGTTTTTCAATTCAGGGGAGAATCTATCCAAGTGAAAAACTCCACAAATGACATTTGGGACTTTCGTCTAAAGTGTAGATTCTGTTTTTCTTTGAACTTCACTTTCTAGGTTTTTATGTATTCCATCTATTGGACTCTAATCCTCTTATTCAATACATCTAAAAAGGTGTGGTCTGTGATCCTCACTCAGACCTGAGGCTCCTACTCTTACATCAGGCACATACAAACCAACCTACATGTGCAAACCATTTAGACTTAGTTTCCATTGCATGTAACAGTGTTAACCAGATCCTACTGAGACCTGGCCAGCAGAGACATTTAAGAGCACAGGGAAGCTCAGCTGGTAATAGAAACAAATGAGACTCGGTTCTTGGTCTTTACAAAGAGCAAAGGACCAGCCTTTATTGTAACCGTTCACATCAGTGCATTTTAGAACGGTTTATATGTCAATGTAAATTTTGCACATTTTATTAACATGAACAGGTAAAGCTACGTTTGTACAGAAGCCCTCAGAGGCTGAGTAAAAACATGGGAAGAAATAAATAGAATTAATTAAAGTTAGACCAGTTTTATTCCTCTTCGTCTCAAACATAAGACGGACGGGAATGATGCTGAGCTTAAGGGTGAAGCTTCATCAGGAAGTGCCACAGATGTACTCAAGTCTTAAACATGTTTCTGTTTTCTTAAACGTTGTTATTGTCTCAGTAAATTCACACATGACTCTTGATAATAGTGCATCAGGGACAGGACCAGCCTCGCTCCTAATGAGTTGTTAAGTAGCTGCTATGTGAGAACTGGCTTTCTGGTTACCTCAGCTCTATCCACTCCTGTCCAGAGCCTCTGCTTTCAGCGTGTGAGCCCCTGCGGAAGTTTGGACACCCCTGCTATTCAGGGACAGGACAGGGGCAGGGACATGCTTCAGGCACATGCACCTAACACTCATGTGGTGGAGGAAAGCCGCAAGATCAACTTTGAAACAGTGTGGTGGTGGTGTTGTTGTAGTGGCAACAAAAAAAAAACACTGATTGCCCACGTGCCTTTCTGTTCATACCAATGGCATCCCGATTACAGGCAGACAAAAGTCAGTCTGTTATTCCAAGCTAAGACTAGCTTGGAATAACAAACATGTAGCCATGGATCTATTATAATAACTGGATACTGGATTACTAGCTTGGAGCTGAAGGACCCATGTGCTTGCGGGATTTTCGTGGTGCTGCAGACTAAACTAGACTAATATCACCTGGGCTACCCAGAAATTTTCCCCATAGAACTCAATGTAAACTAAGAAGCTCGACCTCAGCTTACAGAGCATCTACAGCTTTCATAAAGGTCAGATTTTGTGGGGATTTTAGTGTCCCTTGTCATCCTGAATTTTTATTCTTCCTAAATCCTTAGGGTTTTCTTTAAATCCACACATTAGTGTCACAAACTCTGCTCGTCTGGCACCCGCTCTAGCTCCCGCTCCGCTCTGATGAGCAGCGCTGATTGGTCAGAGCGCGATCGAGCCCCTCTGTGCACGTGCATGAAAGCCACACACGAGTATATGGCGCAATGCATCATGGGAGCTTGTCCACTGCGCAGAACTGGGAGGACCAGACGATGCCCAAATATAGGCAAGTTCCGCTAATCTTTTGGTGCCCATGCCGGCACATGCGCCACTGAGCACAAACCATTCATCTAGCGGACAAATGTAATTATCAGCTTCTGAATAGCTGAAGTTTAGGTATATTGTAACTGTTAATTAATTAATTATTTGCATGAATGTCCTAGTTAACTCGCAATTTATTGCAAATTAATTAGACATTTTTATCTACACTTAATGTCCTTGAATAATAATTTCAATACTCTATTGTGGAAAAGGGAATCAGCTTATACTGTGCAATTGTTTTTTTATTTTTTTTATTGAAAACGTGTAGTGTTATATTTCAAACTCACACTTATACATCTGTTTATTGACAGCATTGAAATGTATGATAACATGTATAATTGGTAACAAAAAGCCCCTTCTACTCTTTTAATGACACAAAATAAAGTAGCAAAGTACCTAACTTAGTTTCGCTATCCATATGTCTATACAAGAACGCGGCAGAGGAGGAGGGTTGGCATCAGCCGTGTGTTACCTGTCAATGTTCTGCGGCCGCTGTATGGCCGTGGTCCTTGTTCTGTAGCTTAGGTCCTGGATCTACAGCCCTTTGGTCTGTGTGGAGCGGATCCCTCTCTCAATGTGGATCTCCCCGAGGTTTCTCACTTTTCTCCGACTGGGTTTTAGAGTTTTTTCTTTCCGATGCAGGACGGTCTGTTGGACAGTCAGTGTCTAACAAGAAGGACTGTGGTGATGATCCAGGACACTTTAACATTCTACAACATTTATGGACATTTATCAACATTCATGGACATTGGTCTTTCCATATGGACCAATACATACAGTATGTGTATTTTCTGTGTCTTAACTGTTGATTCTCTGATCTGTGTTGGTGATTTCAATAGTTTTGTTAAGTCCTATGAGATGACTACTGTTGTGATTTAGGGCGATACAAGAATAAATTGTATTTATTGTATTGGTTTTAGCATCAGGTAGAATTTCAAAGTGGATGTGCTATGGTGATAACCAAGTTCACACCGACAATACACACAAATAACTTTGGTCTTGTCAGCCAACCCATCTGCCAACTTTTTTATTAAACTAAACTTTCCATTCAGAAGCTTAATTGTTAACATCCATTCAGGCATTTCTAGGGCAACAGTGGCTCAGTTGGTAGAGCATTGGCCTTTGAGGCTGAAGGTCGTGGGTTTGATCCCACCATGAGACCTACTTAATCACTCCCACTAATGTCTTCTGTCGTTGTGTCCTGGGGCAAGACACTTAACCCCACTTTGCCTGAAGCCCCCACTGAAAGATCAAAGCTCCTGTGGACTCACCACCTGCAGGAGGATCTGTGAGGGGCTGATGCTCATTGAATTGGGTGCAGCTCTGACTACCACCCCCTGCCCCAGAAATGGATTAAGGGGAAGAAAATGGATGGATGGATGGAATTTTGGCATTTCTCACTATACCAACCAGTAGTTTGTGTTGTCATTATGGTATATTATACAAACACTGTTTTGCTCTTTGACCCATCCATCGATTTTCTTCGCGGGACAGCAATCTAAGCAGAGCCACAGACTTCCCTCTCCGCATACACTTCCTCCAGCTCATCTGGGGGAATCCTGGGAGGAGTCCAGGAGGCATCCCAAACAAAAGCCCAAGCCACCTCAGCTGGCTACTCTCCATGTGGAGGAGCAGTGGCTCTACTACCGGTGTGACTGAGCTCCTTCCCCTATCATCTAAGCGAATCTACTCGGAGCTCATCCCGTGTGACTGAGCTCCAACCCCTATCTCTTAATGGGGCATTCAGACCGCCGACGCTGGAATGCAGTTTCCACGCGCTAGAAGTACATTCTCTAAATTTCAGACGCTAGGGGTGTTCAGACCAGAAGTCCTGGCCTGCGGTGGCGCCTGCCGGAAGTGGCGGAAGTAGCGGGCGGGCTTTGATGCTAATAGAGTTAAGCTAGCGTTTTTTTTGTGTAAAGTTCTTCTCCAAGAATGCAGCGTCTCTGTGTCAAGAGACCTTCCAGAGACTTTAACAGCAGTATGTGTTCACGGAGGTGCGCCATAAGTTTATTTTATTATTGAACGGTACTTCCGCATCAGCAAACACGCTAGCGGCACTAGTGTAGTCTCTAGAGAATGGGAACTCAGGCTGGAGGCATATGTTCACAGGCACTGTGTCCCACATTGTCAATCCTGGTTTAGCTCCTGTTTTGGCTATTTAGGAGTATTTTCAGTCAGCCCGCTAGATATCCCCGTGACCACTTTGCGGCTCTCTGATTGGTCGCTGCACGTGCGTCCCGAGGAAAAAGTTAAGCAATGTTTATCTCCTGCGTGCGTCGATTTTCCGCTCCTGCGCCTCTTCCGTGTCCCGAGACACACATGCAGTTCCACGCTCGAACACACGTCACTATTGACTTTGCATTGAAAGTCGCCGCAACGCATGATCCGGTCTGAACGCCCCATAAGGGAGCTCCACTCTGGAGGGACCTCATGTGGACACTGGTCTCCCCAATCTCGTCCTTTCAGTTATTACTTAAAGCTCAGGACCAGTAATGAGGGAGGGAATGTAGAGCCCTGACTATAGAGGTTGTTCCCTATTTTGATTGATTGAAAATTTGAAAATAGAAACATATTTATTTTGCAAGAAATGACCCAATACA